TTTGACTTTTCTTTAACGGATCTAGAAACTTTTCTATCTGCAGAGGTAAAAAAAAGAATTTATTGAGTTTATCAGAAAATGATGGATCGTTGATTCAGAAATGTAAGTATAACTGAGGGTAAGTTACGTTTTTCTGTCAATAACTATGATATCTTCTGACCACGTTTCTATGACTTCTTCTTTCTCTAGCAATCTTAAGTGCTGAAAATATAGTTGATTCGGGCTTAGGTGTTCTAAACCGAAATACTCTCTAACTATAGGATAAACTTCGTCCGAAAAAGGGTTTTCGTTGATGAAGGAATAGTATGGTAGTTCCTGAAGCAATGCAATGGAACAGTTGTCTACTTTGTGGAAGGAAATTTTGAAAAAATAGAGAAAGCGAGAAAAAAAAGAATATCTGATTTTTTTTGTAAGTTTATTGATTTTTCTAAAAGGAATTTGATTCTAAAAGGAACTTCAAAAAGAAATGCTAAAAAAAAAAAATGTGTTTTTAGTTTTGAGTTACTTTATCACTCGATGAGGCCCCCAATTGTCAGGGTGGCTATTACCTTGACAGCTAAACAATCTGGACTTACGCTGTCTGAAGACCTGACTGGAATCCCGCTGGGTACGTGGGATGGTTGATTCTAGAGTTACCTAAGTAATTAAAGACGAGTGATTTATTTATGAGTAAGTTTCTCAAAAATAATACTAATTCTTCTAAGAAGAGCACAGGCTTACTGTTAGTCTAACAGCGGTGGGAGCGTCACTCCTAAACCTGTGTTTTCTCTAGAGCTTATAGCTCAGAGTAGCCTGAAAATCCGAAGATAATACAGGGATCTCGTACAACTATGAGTTGCGAGAACGGTAGTATTGATGAAGTAGAAGTTCACTTACGGATTAAGGCGAAAGGAAATAATGTTCAGAGGTGAGGACCCTACTGAGCCGGTTTAATGATTATTAACTGGGTCGGGAACTAAATAGCAGCCTATGGAGTAGTAACGATTAAAGGGAGTCAATAAAGGTGGTGTACCGTGCTGAAAGTATTTCAATAGAAAGTGAGGGGGTGTTTACGTTTATTTTACGATGTTTTGATTTCTAAGTAGAATCTAGGTTCTAGAATCGAAGGAATAGGACAAACAGAGATTAATCAAGAATATCAGTACTAATTGCTAAAGGAAATAGTGCTAGATGATTGGGATTTAAGGCTGCTAGTGGATTCAGAAGATTTAAAGAACACTGACAATTTCTTGGTAGAAATTTTTATAAAGGTAAAATGCGATGCCTCTCTCTTCTGAGGGCAAAAAGGTTCGCGGCTTTATACTCTTCTCACTCACTGGTCAAGCCTTCAGCGAACGACATAGATGGTTATCAATCTGAACTTTTCTCTTAATACCGTCCGTAGTAAGGATATCATCCTTTGAACATTGTGACGAATTCTTTTCTTTAGTTGATTAGTTTCCTTAGTGTTTCTTTCGAGTTTTATCATAACTACAAAACCTTTCGTGGTTTGAGAACTGTTGGATCTCTCAGAGTCCTTGGTAATCTTCACTCTGTAGTGATTCTATTCAGTAGGTCTCTTTTACTTTATTTACGTATAAGTTTGTATACAAGTTTTTCGATTCTTGTGAATTTATTTGCACTTATTAATACTATGATTTTACGTAATATGTCTTAAATGCTCTTGGCTCGTAAGTAACTTCTATTCCTTCGTTTCTTAGTTTGTTTGATATACTCAGTTCTTGTTCTTTCTCAGAGTGTTCTATTCATTTCTTGTATTCTACTTCTTGGTTGGGTCTTTGATACTAGACCTCTAAGTTGTGGTTTTTTCATTATGTGAATTCTTATGGTATTTTATAAATCTTCGATACTTTGGTTACTTTAGAATATATTGTACATGAAGTGTAAAGGATATTTTAATGATGATATAATAAAATAAAGGTTTTATTTACAACTGTGTAAAGACGTAGTGGTTCCCCATGTAGTCTATTTTGAAGTACTCTTGGGGCTTCTAGGTGTAAGATCTCGAGTACTGACACCTACTCAGAAGGCATCTTTTTTGAATATCCAACAAAAACAATTATGGGAAACCAGGAAGATGGGGTGTCTGAATCTTTATTAAGTGTATTGGTGACACCAAGCAGTGTGAAACTACAGACCTGGTATTTTGTGAATACAACAACGAAAAAACCAAATTCCTAAATCTTAAAATTACAATAGTTGAAAGAACAAGACTTTCAAATTGTTTTCTGCTGAGGATAATTTCAAATAGCCGTTGATGAGACAACCTCAAAATTATCTTGGTTTGTCATCTAAATAATTTTTGCAACTTGGGGAACAATTTCCAAAAAAATACCCAATTGGGTGGTTCTTGCGGTCACCAACCATAATTTCTGCTTCCAGAAAAGTGGCAGGCACAGTTGGCAGGGCCAGGTCACAGCCCTAAATTGATAATGTTATTCTTATGCTTTACTTTTATTTGTAAGTTTTATTACTGGTATAGGTTGTATAGCTTCATTATTATTCTGAACACTTTTGGTTTGTCTAGAATACGTCAAGTGATGGAGCAAGATATTTATTGTCTTTGTGCATATGCGCACATGTTTTGGAAGGTAATTCTTTCCTTGATGTCTGATTTGGGAAGTTTATCCTTCTGAAGAAAAGGCCAGTCACTATTGTTTGTTTCTTCAGAAGATGTTTCAATATTTTTAGATTCTCTTCAAGAATTCCAGTGGTTTATCTGTCTTTGAAACTAGAGACATGTTGTCAAATATTTTAGTATGTAGTCTTTGTAACTAGACTTCAAGGTGTAATTAGTAAATATTGTTATACATTAATATATATATATATCTTGTGCATTCAATCTTGTGATTTCAATATCATGATTGTTCACATGATCAGTTGAAGCTTTTTTGGCTTTGGTAGAAGCTCAGGGCCCGTTCGGTTGCCGTCAACCTTGCAGGTTGACCCAGCCAAAAGTTCAGGTGTATGCTTCAAGGCAGTTTGAAGCGTACGCCTGGGTGTTGTGCCGTTTGGTACACCCTTTTTCAAAAAGGGAGAAGCGTTGTGGAAATCAAAATCAATGATCTTCTTTTTAACATTACTTCTTGATATTTATTCAATCAAGGATTGAAATTTAAATCAGTTTTATATTTTGCTTCAATTGGTCACTCATCTAGGTTGTTTTGTTACAGGATCAATTCATTATATCAAGTTTATAATGATGAGCTACAGAATTATTCAAATTCAAGACTCAAGTTTCATTGCTCATCTAAACTGATTGGGGTTATATTATTTTTGATTATAGTTATTAGATTCAAATCTGGTACTTTTATTATTTTATTACTCATTTCTTCATAAAAGATAGTCTACATATAAGCAAGCAAAACAAAATACACAAAAAGAAGAAATAACTTGAAAATAGTCCTTTGATATTCAATAAAGTAAAGAATACCTAGATTTCAAACAAAAGGCAGGTGTCAGTATTATTCAAGATTGAGATTAAGGTCCAAAATCGAGATTTAAGATTAGAAGGAAACAATAATGTGATACCATGATTACAGGCTGAGATCAAAATGCTGAACTAAATAGAAGTCAATAAAATTAGATCAAGGGTGCGACTTGGAGGATGGCAGAGTAGAGAGAAGATGAATTTCAAGTTCAGGCTCTAGAATCTAAATCAACAAGAAGCAAGAAAAGGGAACCAAAGTTAGTGTGTTAATGAAAGAAAAGGAAGGAGATAAAAGATGGAAGGAAACAACTTACTAGTTCAAAGGCAATAGGAGGTTAAAAGTTTGACATTGAATCCAAGTAAATCAACTGTTTAGTGTGGGAAAAGCCAAGGAATCGGTCGGTGGAAGGAGATAAGGAGGTCGGAGTTGGTCGGAGCAAAAGGAAAACAGCTTTAAAGATGGGGAAAGAGGCTTGAGGCCAAGTTGTGGGTGGAAATCGAAAAAGATATATAAGGGGAGCTGTTTTGAGAGGAATGAGAAGGGAATCTATCGCATGTGGTGATCATCTATGAGTTTTTCAGTGTTTGAGTGAAAGTGTTGATCTTGTGTTAGTGTGTTAGAGTCCTGGTTATCGTATTAGAGTGTGCTTTTGAGTTATTGTGTTCAAGTTTTGATTCAACAGTGTTCAGTCATCCAATAGGTGTTTGAGATCGAGTGTGCTATTTCAAAGTTAAAGAGTTAAAGAAGAGAAAAAGTTTTTTAGTTAGTTGGTTATCAGATTAAAGGAAAGAAAAGGAAGAGTTTGAAAAGAGTGAAAAGTGCTTACCTTTGTATTAGTGTTCAAATCGTAGTTGTTGTGGTGTTTGTCGGGTTGTATTATTGCTGAGCTGAGTCAGAAAGAAGTCGTGGGGTTGTCAAGTCAAAATCAAAATCCAGCAACTCGTGCCTCTTGATCCAAGTCGAGGCTGGGTCGAGTCAGGGATCCAAAATTACATTTTGGCCCTGTGCATTGTTACATGTGCGTTCAAAGCCGTGTTAACATTGAAATCAACATAGTTTTACACCACAATGTCGTGTAGAGTTGTGTGTGGTATCATTGGAGTCCGGCAAACCTTGTGGATCCTTTGGAAATCTTAAAAAAGTGTTACGGGAGAAACTCGTAGGGATAGAATTTGTTTAGGATTGCTCTAGTTCTTTTTGAACTGCAATAATTTTAAGGTTGAAGGCAGCGTAACAGCACCGTAGTTTCGTCCGCTCTCACGAGTGGTGATTCTTACCTTCTCCGGCTCAGCCTACGCTACACTGCGTAGGAGTTCTACAGCGTATGCCCCGCAGGTCTACCAGCCAAAATGGTCAACCTGGCA